TTGTCTAAGCATTGCCAATATCAACAAGGAAGTCCGGCTAACGTCTTCTAGGTCGGTCCTACTCAGCGTCTCTCAAATATCGCCAGGCCTGTCGATCGGTAGTAGTGATTCACAAATTACAATATATCCAACATCACCACTACCTTCTTGTCTCATCCGGTCCACAGCAGAACTTTGTTCAGGTGGAGAGGGACTGGACGGATTTACCGCACAAGATCCAAGAGCTTCTCGATAACCCTATCAAGGCTCGTACTGTTGCAGACAACAATGTGAATGTATTTCGCGAGCGATATCTGACTCCAGCTGCTGATGTATGCTACTGGAGAGCGTTGCTGCAGGGGTGGACCACTGCATCGCCTCAGATCACCGAAACTATGAGTGACCCAACAAATGTCTCTAACAAAGGCATTCGATACGAATCATTTTTACTGCTAGATCCCAGCAACATGATGCGCTTTAGGCCTTGAGATTGGAACCATGTATTTTATAACTTCGTTGAATGTCGATCGAGTCGGTCCACAAGCTGATCTGGTGAGAGCGGATTCCTCCTATCCTCCGCTACTCCAATAAATTATATAATCCTTTCCTAGGGCATTGTACTACATACGACGATGTGTTGTAGAGAACAATGCCTCACCACCTACTCAGCCGTACATAAGCCCCATATCAAGGGCAGTAAACTCTATTAGAAAAAGGCTATTTGATCTGAATGGGCGGCTATTTCCCTCGGGTGTGTAATTTTCTTCTGCCTCATCTGCCTACATTATATCTATCTGGGCCCATACCCAGCGCTATTAATTTTCCTTTTTTTTTAAGATATATAATAGCACTTTCATGGTTACATGACATCGGAATATTATAATTCGGAATCCATTTAGAAACATTGCAAACTCGCCGAGGTTCGGCTTATGAACGTGGGGAACAAGGACCAGATAAATTTGTGCGTGCGTGCGTGTGTGTGCCTAAAGGGAAGGATTCGTGCCACGGAAGCCACATATTCTACGGGAATTGTGAACTGGTGTTTGTAGAGTGTAGCTATTAAGATATAAGTGAATGAAGTTGAAACAACACAGCAATGCATACCGTAAAGCAAGGTGTAAGCTCGATCTCCCTCCATCTTGACATGATGTCCATCCACTGCGACGAAGGTTCCCAAAAATACCAACTTGGAGAAGCTCCTGAGTCCTCTACCCGTGTTACTGCATGTTACGCATACCATGGACTCGTGTCTAGTGGTTTCAAGTAGCTTTGGGTAGACTGGGGCTTGTGGAGAGCTAGGCTACCTCCAATGGGACTATGGCATCAGAAGACAAACATATCAATGCGGGCCGCTCATACAAGTACTACTTTTGTGGCATACTAGTTCCAACAAGACTGCCTTGAGACGATTTCACCATGGTCTGGATTTCATTCAACTCAGTCACTAGATATTCCTGCTGCCCTGCACTGGAGTTAGAGCCGTACCGGACACCGGTGTATTGTGATGATCTTTTGACCAGTTGCCTTGCAGCCAGGTTGGATCTGTTCGCGGATAGAATAACATCGGCCTCGCTAGGGAAAGACTAAAATAGAATTGCCAGGGCATGGCAAAGAAAGAGCGTCGAGACAAGGAACTTGATGGTAGCAGCCGAATTAGCCATAGTGGGAACTGACCATACAGCTAATTTGACATAGCAAATGAATGTGTGAGTGAGTAAATTTAGCAGAACAAAGTGGTGTTAGAGTGAGTAGATGTTTTTCTGCCTGAATGAGCGACAGAATAATAAAAGAAAGTCACCTCCATACACAACTCGAGGAGACTGGCTAGTAAATGACTCTGACGATGCCTGCCTTTCCAGTGGCAGATAGGCATTGTCTTGCTGTTCCCTCATTACTACATCCTACTGAAAATCTCATCTGCCCTTCCCCTCCTATCTCAGTAGGCTTCTAGTACTCTTGGTAAATTCTCTCTTTGATACAGAATCTATGAGGTGCCAACCTCAAGGATCCTCCAGGGTAATACGCAATACCAGAACATGCATACTGCTGCTGGCGTCAAGCGGAAGATAACATCCGACAGAATTGAACCAACATAGCATTATGGGGCTGTTATCATGTCTTATTGGAAGGGTTTCATTTCCAATGCAACTGTAGTAGCGCGAGATATCTGACCTACCAATTAATGTGGACTATGCCGACACACGGCCTGGCAAGGACTGTACATAGATTAAAGCTGAAAAATGAAGCTAGGGACGGAGATGAACCGGTGTGCCGTTTTCTGGACAAAATAACTAACTGTGCCCCCTCATAGCGCTCCTAACTGGAACCCGGCCTTATGTTACATTGCCAAGAAACCCTTGTGGGGTGTTATTATTCCCCGCCGCCCCACCCCACCCGGGGATCATTGACGGTAAAACCTCGCTGAATTTCATGATTCTTGGCAAGATGTCACGTAACGGATTTTTCGATATGTAAAGCTAGAGAACACGCTAAATTTACTTTTGAAATTCAAGAACTGAAGAAGCGAGAGATTATAGAAAGAGAATAAGACAATATAACTAAGACTTCTATTCAAATTATATAAGAGATCGGGCGAAAAACTGAGAAAAAAGATAAATAAAGCTTAGATAAAAAAGATTAGCCAGGCAGGGAAGTCAAGCAGTTTTATTGTATAATAATTTCTTAAAAAACAGTCAGTCTGACCCTTTCTGGCGTAACGAAATGAATCCAGATATTTTAGTTATAATAAAGTTTGATAATACCAATACACTGAAAATGGCAAGGATATGTAGAATAATTTCCATGACATTTAGACTGGAACTATACTATATGTTCCGCTACAGAGTAATGCCTTCTCTACTATGATCATGGGACAAGCTGTCTGATTTCAAAAATAGTTGAAAAGAATATAAAAACATATAATAGAAGAGATTTGCTGGTGGTCATCCACCCAACTACTAACCTCCCGGCGTATGGCTTGTGTGCAGTCAATAGGCGGGTGGGTGCCTTTAAACCGGCGACCCTGGCGATTGCCGGCGCTGTCGCGCGAGCTCCCTGGGTGCGCTTTAGATGGCGTATGCGTTACTCGGCGACTCCCGGCGACCGGCGCGACCTGGCTGACTTACCCCACTTCTTACCTATGAACAGGATCTGAGCAACAGTGAATCCAGCAGAGCCCCAAGCAGAGCCAGTGCTAGAAGCAGTCGGAGCAAACAAAGCGCCCAATGTATCCGAAAACGGGATGAGTCCAGATACAGATAGGTCTAAGCCGAAATCCTGGACAAACCCTATGTAAGCAATGCCAAGCCCTAGTAGAATCACTAGAGGACCAGGAGCTCGAACACTAATCAGAGCTAGAAGAGATACAGGCCTATGTCAACCAGGTAATAGAGGCTCAGATAGCTCAGCAGCGGACCCGTGAACTACAATATAAGACTTGAATTAAGGCTCTAGAGAAGACAGTTCAACAGCTCCAACACCTCCGAGCAACTTAGACAGCCTCTCCTGCGGCCCAAAGGCCCTCAGCAACGCAAAAAACACATCAAAAATCACTATCTCACGTCCCCAGGAACCCCGACACCCCCAGGACCAACGGGCAGAATTTTCTGCGCACAGACCACACAGCAGAGCCGCACCCATAACCAAAAGACCAAGCAAGCCTGAAGCTCAAGCTATATACGCAGATATCACAGCCCTACTGAGCACAAACCCTGGAGGACAGGGATAGCAGACAGTTACTAAAAAACGCCATGAAAAGATTCCTAGAGCTCAGAAAACTAAGGCAGTACTGTTACCCTAGCTAGAAGCTGCAAAAAGGACCCCTTTAGAGGCCTGCAGATTGATATTCAGATAGGAAGATAGTCTTGGGGCATCTAAGTCAGAATATGAAGATATTATTTTAGGGCTTAATATTACTCTTACTGAGGCAGGATTACCAGATGTTGGCGGCGCCTTCCATGTTTAACCTTCCTAATGTAGTTTAATGCGCCACATGACCCACAAAGCGATTGCAGATAGTTAGCTAAACTGCAGCTCCGCTGCGTAGTAGAATTAATCAAGCATTCCACTCATTTCATTTTCCGCCTCCATCACCAGACTTTCTACAGGTAGTAGACGCAGGCTATACCCGGACAGGAACTATATCTGTTGTTCTACAGAAAGTATCCCTGAACCATTTACTATTATCTGGATATTCTGATCTGATAATAACAGCTGCTAGAAGGATTGATCCTGCAATTATCTTATTAGAATTTTCAGAGCAATGGTACTATCTAAAGATATATAGAATTCCTACTAAACAATATCTTACCTTAGGCCTAGGCCTGACAAGGCAGGAGATTGAAACAGGCAGCGCTATATACCTGAAAAGGGATCCTACCTGGTTAAAGAGCCCAGAGAGCTTTAAAAATAGCATTTAGAAAGGATCTAGCATTATGATTACAGTAGGATCACTAGCTGAAGCTCAGCAGATCCAAGCAAATGGTATACGCTTTGGAGGCATAAGGTATAAAATAGAGCATTTCTAGGAGCTAGGACCTAATACAGTATGCCCCTAATACTGTGGAATAAGGCACAAGAGCTTTAAGGCCTATGAAGAACGTCCACCGAAATACTATATTTGTGTTAGACCTTATGAAGGTCTAAATTATTCATGTTTAGTCCTAGGCTGTTCAGCTGGAGCAGGCAAGGCCTGCCAACACAGCCCGGTGAGGTGCGGTAACTGCGAGGGCAGACACCCTGCCCTAGCTGTCAGCCACCCAAGCAAATAGGCTACCTGAAAATAGTGAAATTAAGGGCCCATAAGGCTGCCAAACCGTCCAGCAGTACAGGTAGTTATTAGAGGATGTCTACGAAGTTTACCGGCGCCTAATAGCCCAGGTAGGGATATATCTGGAGGTTCTATGACCAGAAGTCCTAGCTTAAGCTGCTTAACCTTAAGGACACCTCGGACAGCGGTTTAAGTGTTATGACCAAGCAGCCCCTAGGACTAAATAATAGAGAATCCCTAGACTCTTTAGCCTCTAGGATCCACCAACCTATCTCAATATTAGTATTGTAGTAAAACTGTTGCAGAGCTTATACTATTACTATAGCAGCCTTTTATTAGGGTTTTATTAGTCACGACCTGGTTCTCCCCAGATATAGCAGCCTGGGGCGTGCCATATATTTGAAGAAAACTCGGCGCAACGGGTAGGTCATGGTCCAGATGAGCGTCCAAAACACTGCGCTTCAGAACAGGTAAACTGGGCAAGGCAGGGCAATCATCGAGATTCTGGAACTGGGTTGTGCAACCTACGCTGGCCGAGGAGAAGGCGAAGGTAAAGCCTCCGTAGTCTGCGGCCTGCCCGACGGGACTGGCGGTGTCGTGGGGTATTCCCTGGATGTACTGGCGTTGCACCGTCGACAGAATGGACTGACGATCATCCTTGGCTGTCACCGCAGCCGCGGGAATCCGCACAGGAATCGTATTGATGCAAGGGCCTAAAACGTCGCAGAAGTCGATCGGCAAGGTTCCTCTGGTTGAGACAACACGACCAAAAACAATGTCGTCATCATCAGGACGACAGCCAATAACCCGTCCAAGTGCGATGGCGCAAGCTGCTGTAAACACAGTGGCTGTCGTGATTCCGTTCGATGCGCCCGGAATACTTACTGTTCGATCTAGAACAGTCGGTGGGTTGTCCAACGCCGGCGTGAGATCGGCAGCCCCAGTCGTGAGGGAAGCACCGGACAGAAAGTCGCGCCAGTAATCATGGGCCTCGGTAGTACGGGAAACGCGGTGGCGGGCATACCTGGCAAAGCTGGGTGCCTCTGGCAGTTTGGCACCTTGGTAAAGTGTCTCAAGATCCCGAGCAAGAAGGCCGAGAGTGACTGCGTCGTATAGTGCATGCGACAAGCTAAGGAGCAGGCGGGTTCTTACACCCGGCTCAATGAAGAATTTGACTCGTACCCAAGGCGTCCCCAGGACTGCAGGTCTGCTAAGTTCCGTTGCTCGATCCGCCTTAAATATCGTGTCCATGTCTTCCGAGTCGAGAACCTTTTGATGCTGGATATCAAATACGATGTCTTTCAGGGTAGCTTGGTAAAAATGATCTCCAACCGAAAGAAAAATGGACCGGAAGATGTCGTGGCGGTTCAACATGTCTTGACAGCTCTGAGCCAGTTTCTGTTCATCCACTGTGGGTAGAAGGTCTAGGAAGAACTGGAAATATGATCTACGAGGGGTACGGAGGGCATCATCAATATAGACGGTTTGTGTCGAGGACACAGGCCAAATGTCGAGCAGCGAACCAGCCCCGGCCGGGACTTGAGGCAGCAGCTCATTCTCGAGAAAAAAGGTCGTCTGGTCTCCCAACCCGAGAGCAGCAAAAGGAGTAGTTGATGAAGGCCTCGGGTCATTGACGTAAGTCCTCATCTTGCTCACAATATCGAGCAGATTACGCGCGCTGAGAACATCGCCAACGGTCACCAGGAGCCCCTCTTGCTGAGCCAGAGAGACAAACTGCATGGCCGAGATAGAGTCGCCACCAAGGTGAATAAAGTTATCATCCATAGCCAAAGTCTCAGGGGGAACGCCGAGCTGCTTTGCCATTAGACCATGGACTCGAATCTCGGGAGGGTTTGCCGGCGCATGACGCTGGGACATCGACTCTCTTTTGCGAATAAGGTCGTGGCGCTTCATTCCAGCCCCTATGCTTCGGAGTTTGATGCGATCGGTCTTTCCGGATGCAGTTATGGGAAGTTCATCGAGCGGAATATATGCGGTGGGTATCATATAAGACGGCACGCACTGCAGCAACCTGCTATGTACCACGGAAGCTGCGGCGGTAATACTGCCGGTCTCGCCAGCAGCGACCTCTAGGAATACCACCAGTAGAGATTCGCTTTCACCTGCGGGTATAATGAGTTCGGCCACTACCTGCGAGAGGCGCAGTGGGTAAAGTGCACGGCGGACATGATGCTCTGTATCCCCCAACTCAACCCGTTGGCCTCGGATTTTTACCTAAGCATCCTTGCGTCCTACGAATGCGAGCGTACCGTCACTGTTATAGCGGACCATATCACCGTCACTGTTATAGCGGACCATATCACCGGTGCGGTATAGCCGGCGATAACAGTTAGTTAATATTGCGCCCTCATCCCGTGCAGAAATCCAGCGGGGTGCCTCAACAAATACCTGGGCAGTCTTTTCAGGGGCTTTCAAGTATCCCTGTCCCACCAATGGGCCTCCAAGCCAGAGCTCGCCCACGCTCCCAATGGCGGCCATTTTTGGATGGTCGGCTGTAACATCTACCACCCATGTCTCTACACCGACACCGCGGCCAATAGATGGATCGGTATTCGAATCACCACTGGGTTCGATGACGTGAACTGTGGCTACAGGTGTACATTCAGCAGGGCCGTAAGTATTAAGGACCCTAACTTTGCCCTGCCAGTAGGACACGTCGACTGCCCGCAGCGGCTCACCAATAAAGCTCATGGTATGTAGGTCGGGGAGATCTGCGCCTACCAGTAGCCGGGCAACCGTTGGTGTCACATGCGCATAGTTGACCTTCATCTTCGCGATGCTCAAGGCTGGGTTGTGCCGACGTTCTTCCTCTGACGGAATGCAGAGGCAGCCCCCCGCGCAGAGGGTTTGTAAGACATTGGACCAAGAGACATCAAAAGCATAGGAAACAAAGTCCCAGACACGGGACTGGTTTGACAGTTCTAAAGCGGCCTGTTGAGAATGGACTGCTGTAGCAAAGTTGGTATGGCTTATCATAACCCCCTTAGGAATGCCAGTGCTGCCAGAGGTGAACACAACGTAAAGGGTCGACAATGGGTCAATGACAGGCAATGACGACTTTGCGAGGTCATTCCGGGAAAATACCCTGAGATATTCCCCGGCGATTTGAACCGATTCATGTAGTTTCCTGGCGAATTCTGCATTATCTGTAGAAGAGAGGACAAAGGGCGGATCCACTAATTCGATGATGGTGCGTAGACGGTCCAATGGTAGGTTTGCGTCCAGGGCCACTGAAGCACCACCAGCTTTCATGATTCCCAACTGGGCTACCGGCATCCATTTCAGCTTCTCGAAATACAACGGTATTACTCGGCCACCAGTTTGCTGAACACGTGGATTGTTCAGAAGGGAAAGCGCAAGATTGGAAGATAGAGCGTCAAGCTCGCCATAAGTGAATTCTCCATCCCAGGCGCATATAGCCGGCAGATTGGGCTGCTTTCGCACCACCTGTGAGAACAAGTCATGTACGCAGCATTCAGCCCCTTTGGAAGTTAAGTTCCAGGAGCGAATGTCGTCCAGGTCCTGGTCGCTCGCTATTTGGATCTCCGAGACGCGCTGATCTTGATTGGCTGCGGACAGCAACTGTCGTAGTATAGCCTCGAACTGTAAACCCATTCGCTGGGCTGTGATCTTGTCAACAACCCGAGAGTCGATACTAATCCGCACATGGACACTGTGTGGTTGAGGTTGACATTCGAGCAGGAGGGGATACGTGTTGAAAGCAGCGAAGTCGTCGTAGGCCCGCCTATCGTTGGCAGAGTTTCTCTGGTCCTGAAAGATGCACCAGTCTCTAGGACCATTATTCCGTGGCTCTGGTTGCACAAGAACCAGCGTTTGAAACTCACAAGCCTGTTCGCAGGCTTCATTCAGTTGCTTGATTCGCTGCAGCCCAGCCTGCTCAAATGGGATCATGTCCACTGCTTGTATTTTGACCTGATCTAGTAGGTCTCCAACAGTGGACCCCCTATTAACAACGACGCGTACGGGCACCGTCGCGATTAAGGGGGCAGCGATGTCCTCTATTCCCGGTAGCGATGCCTGACGACCAGAAACCGTCACTCCGAAGACAGCATCCGTAGTGCCGGAGTAGGACGACAGCAAGATTGCCCAGGCCGCTCGTATAGCATTGGAAGCAGTGACCTTGCCTCCCCAGTGAATGTCCATGATATCCTGCTTCATAATGTGGTCTGAGCGGGGTTGGAAGCTCGAAGATGGCAGAGCGAAGAACGGCCGCGCTTCGATTCCTTCAAACTGGGTGCGCCAAAATTCATCCATCTCCTGCCCACTATACCGCTGAATATAATGAAGGAATGTCTGCATAGGAAGAATCTTGGGCATATATCCTTCATGGTAGAACGCAGAAAGGGCCTTCTCGATTAGCTCTAGAGACCAGCCATCGAAGACAGAGTGGTGCAGACTCCAGATGAAGTGTGATCCTGAGCCACTTGCATCATCCTCTACCAGGGCGAAGCGAGCAAGAGGCTCGCCGAGTTCAATTGGCCTGTGTTCAAGCGCATTGAGGGTAGCGTTCACGTCTCTGCTGCTATTCTCCCACACACTTCTGCTCGGGCTCGTGACCACTTGGACCAGGCCGAACTCAGGAAGATTGACAATGCGTGAGCGGAGGATTGGGGTGGCGTAGACAATTTGCTCCCAAGCAGCCCGGAACCTTGCGATATCAACATGTTTTTCTAACCGGCGCGCCTGCCGAAGAACATAGTCACCAGGGCGACGCATGGTCATAGCAAGTAGTCCTTTCTGTAGAGGTGTACAGGGGAACACATCAGTAACGCAATCTGCCTCGAGATCGCATAGCCTCGCCGCCTGGGACCGAACCTCATTCTGCGGCAGATCGAGAGGGAGAAGAGAAAATGGGTCAACATTGTCATGCCCTGTTGAGCTGGGCTGCAGCACATCAAGCTGACTGTCTGCAACTTGAGACAGCTCCCCCAGCGTGGGCTGCTTGAAGATCTGTGCAACAGACAAAGTGATTCCACGCTCCCGCGCGGCCCCAACCAGTTGCATGGCGTCTATTGAGTCACCCCCCAAACTGAAAAAATTGTCGTCTAGTGAGAGCCGAGCAACAGGCTTGTTCAACACAGCAGCACAAACCTCTAGTATTAGGGTTTCCAGGGAAGTGGGAGATGCGTGTGTACCATTATCGGTCAACATGCTTTTTCTGCGGTTCCCGGGACTGAACTTAGCAATCCCTTCTGTCGTCAACGAACAGCCTAATTCCTTTAGTAGCCGCCTGTTCGTCTTTCCGGTTGGGCCGACAGGAATTCGCTCCACGGGAATATAGATCGCTGGAATCATGAAACTGGGCAACCGTTGGCTTAGTCGGTCCACGAGGGCCGTGGCTAAATCCTGGATTTTAGTAGTAGCAGCACCCTCGTCCCTGTCGGCTAGTTCCACAAATGCAGCGAGCAGGGGGTTTTGGCCATCGCTCAGTTGGATAGTATCAACGACGAAATGCACTTCCGAAGCGCCTTCTTCAAACAGTCCGTGTCGGATGTGAGTCTCAATCTCGCCAAGCTCAACCCTTTGCCCCCGGATCTTGATTTGAGAGTCCTTGCGTCCGACAAAGATGAGGCGCGGGCCGTCGTCACTCAAATCATATCGAACTAAGTCCCCAGTGCGGTACAAACGACCTTGACGGCCTGGCCGGCCGGCGCCTCCACCCTGCAATAACCATGAAGGGTCATTAAGAAAGGCTGCGGCAGTCTTCTCCTGATCTCCCATGTATCCCTGTCCCACTAGTGGCCCTTCCAGCCACAGCTCACCGACGGACCCTATCGGAGCCAACTTGTCGTTGTTTGAGATGCTCACGACCCAGGTGACCAGTCCTTCTCCGCAGCCGATGTCATTTTCGAGTGAGGCCAAATTGACTGGAGCCATTGTTGCCTTGACTGAACATTCCGCCGGCCCATATGTATTTAACACACTTAAGTGCTGTGCCCAGTCGCCAAGCATGGTTTTGGTGAACGGTTCGCCACTCAAAAGCACCCGACGGAGCTGCGGGACGTCCTGGGGGTTGATAAGACGCAGAACGGAAGGGGTAAGGTCTACTAAAGTAGCCTGGCTAGCTCGCAATGATCCGACGATATCGTTTATTCTTTCTTCATCGGAAGGGATGCAGAGGCACGAGCCCGAGGTTAGGGAGTGAAGCACATTCGACCATGACACATCAAATGCATAAGATACAAAATCGTAAACGCGGAGACCGGTTCTGTATCCAAGGGCCCGTTGTTGATGAAGAATGGCTGCGGCGAAGTTGGCATGCGAGACCAAAGCACCCTTCGGCAGCCCGGTGCTACCAGAGGTAAAGACCACGTAGAGAAGGTCTGAAGGTACACAATTCCGCGGCAGGACTGGTCTCACCGCAGTGTCGAGCTAGATGCTATCAATGAATTTGCGGTCCAAAACTACCAAGGATTCCACGCCGAGAAGGGCCGCTGCCACTTGGTTCGCATCAGACGTAATGACGACTTTTGGTTTGACCACCTCGGTGACTGTCCGCGCACGCTCTGTAGGTTGCGTTGAGTCCAACAACACCGTAGCTGCCCCAGCCTTCATGACTGCTAGCTGTGCGATGGGCGTCCATCGTGACTTTTCTATGTATACGGGAACTAGAATACCTGGCCCCACAGCCAGCCGGTGAACTAGATAAAACGCCAGGCGGGATGATAGGTCGTCCAGTTCTCGGTACGTCAGTTCACCATCCCAGGCTGATATAGCCAGTGCCTGCGGTTGCTGTTCAGCGACTTGGCTGAATATATCGTGAACCAACACATCGTGTGGCTCGGGGACGATCGCGTTCCACGACCAAATGTCGGTTAGATCCTGGTCGCTGACAGTTTGGATATCGGACACCATATCTGTCCAGTGACCAAGGTCACTAAACCATCTCAGAGCTCGCTCGAACTGCCAGAGCATTCTGGTGACCAAGCCTCCGGTAATGACATGAGAATCGAACTTGGCGTGCAACCGGATATTGCCCGCGGTGACCAGGCATTGGAGAGTTAGCGCAACGGGCCGTGTGCCAACAATCCCCTCAGGATTAGGGGAGTGGTCTATTCCAGCGTCTCTAGCAGCCCAAAGCGGGAATGAACGTTCGGCAGAAGGCTCGGTAATGACTATAAGTGTTTGAAACTGCGAGGGGCGCGCTGTTTCTCCACTGACAGTCCGGAGACGCAAAGGATTGAGATACGATCTCTTAGTACTATCGGAATGAAGGATGTCAAGTACCTGAGAGATTTCAAGATTCGACTCGAGAGTCACCCTGGTTGGCAGCGCCGATGCGAGCTCTCGGGATACTGGCTCATTATGTGATGATAGGGCTGTGCCAAAAAAAACGTCATGGTGTTCACCGTGGGATGCTTGAACCGCAGCCCATGCACCTTGCACCAGCGCAACGGCATTATACGTCTCGGACCATCTTATATGACTGACAGTGTGAGTGATATCTGCCCAAGGCTTCGGCTGATAGTGCACTGAGGGTAGAAGTGGGAAAGTGGATGCCGTCAGATATTTGAATCGAGACGCCCAGTATGCTTCGGCTAAAGACTCATTGACTCCCGCAATATGGTGGAAATAGGCCTGGTGCAAGGACATAGTATCTTGGATGAGATCGGGCTTCATCATGAACCTGATGGCGCACTCCAACCCAGACGCAATTATCGAAGCCATGCCGCTACTAATGTAATACCCTCGATATTGGATGCTAATGTCTGTCGTGTTGACGCCCAACACTGCGCTCAAGATGACATCGTACTATCGGATGAAGTGTTAGCGAAGGTTGAAAATGGTAACTGTTTGGTGGCAGTTCTTTATATTATATGTCTTACCTCATGCGGATCTTCTTCCCTAATCTCGTCTAGGCGGAGACCACTCTCGCTTCCGTACTGATGTTCTTCGCGAACGGTGATGGCAGTATTGAATAGCTGCCCTTCACTGCCCATGTTATGCTGTATCTCAGCCAGGGACGTATGCTGCCGTGAGAGGTGTTCCAGGGATTGCTCCGCAACAGCCGTGAGTACGGGCTCCAGTCGTGTCGCTCCGAGGTCGATTCGCGCGACCAACATGCTGATCAAGGGACCCGCGACTTCTTCAATCCTGTCAACAGGAGTATCTCGCCCAGAACACACGTAGCCGAAGCAAACCTCTTGTAGCCCCGTGAATTGTGCTAGCACTAGAGCCCACGCAACCTGCAGGAAAACTGCACGAGTGATATTCTGGCGTCGACAGTATGTCGCGATCTCCCCCGACTTGGCGGCTGAAATTCGCAAGAGACCATATCGCTCGGATCCGTCCACACAAGGATCTGGCATGGAGGAAAGATCACTCGGAAGAAGACAACTCTGTGCGCCGGAGAGATGTGCTGTCCAGTAAGCGAGGTTTTCGGAGATATTCACGTTCTGAAGGATGTGCGTAACGATATTGCGGAACTGGGGACGCTCGGGAGCGTTCTGCGGCAGGATCTGATTGTCGTAGGCGTGAGCCAAATGGCGCAATAGCACCGGAATAGACGAAGCATCAATCAATGCATGGCTCATATCTAGTCGGCAGGCCACCTCTCCATCCCGGGCCTGGCAGATTGTAATGGCATGCTGCGGTTCAGTGTTATGTACAGGGGTTGACGCTTTTGTCTGTAACAAAAGTTCGGTTGGTGATGACGATCCTGCTGTTACAATGCGAAGTGTACCGGGTACTTGCTCATCGTGAAGTAGTACTTGGATATAGCGGCCTGTCTCCGGATGTGGTGTGAAGACCGTGGCAAAAACCGCGTGTGTGCGGATTACAGTTTCCCATGCAAGGGCCAATCTTTCCGTCGAGACCGGTGAGGGCTTCCCAGAACCCATGTAGCATCGCCAAACCCAGCTGTTACGGTACGAAGCCTTTCCCTTCTGTTCGCTTATTAGAATGCCCTCCTGTACTGGTGTACACGGGTAGATGTCGAGAAGTCGGTCCCCTGCGAACTGGACGTCCGATAGGAGGGCATCCAGGCCGGCATAGGATATGGGCAACAGGGGGAAGTCGGCCAAGGTTCGCCGTGGCGAGGCCTGTTCCAGTTCTCCAGCGGCGGCACGTAGGGTGTCCGGAAAGACTTGGTCCACCCAGCGCTTTAGTCGGCTATGATGCCTCATGCGCGCGTGCATGGTGGTGGAAATTCGTGCGCAACCACCTTCAATCACGATGTTGATCTCCACCAGGGCCATCCGTTGATAATAATCCCCAAACTCGGTAATTGTAGCCACTCGCCCCGGGCGATTCTCTCGTTGTAGCAGTGCATCACGGCTCTCCAGCTGTTGGAAGACTCCCCGGTAATTCAGCAGGAGTTCAACCTGTTTATGATCTCGAAAAGCCTCCCGCCCTGCCGGATTATAGTACCGGCTAGTAATGTAAGGCCGACCCTTCCCAGGTATCTGCGCACGGCGATCCTTTGCTAGACGGACTAGGTCAGTGATTGTGTCACTCGCAGTGGCTGGCACAAGCAAAGGATGAAGCGTCGTAAACCAGCCGACCGTTTCCGCCACGTCAATATCTACTCCAGATATTGGCTCCCGACCATGTCCCTCTAAGAAAAACAACAACTTGCGCAGGAATCTAATTTTTGAAATCATACTGCAACACCACGCCCCAGAGGCTTCAAACTTTGATAAGTTTCTTGTAACTCTTGTTGCTATTAATTAATACTAATATTAATTAATTATTATAATAATAGTATTAAAGATAATTAATTAGTCCAGTTTAATTATTTTTATAAAAAAAATCTGAATACTCCCAGGAATATATTTTAAATCTTTAATATAATATAAATATACTGTTAAAATATCTGGAAAAAAATAAGAGTTCTTAGATATCAAAGCTAATTATTAATTATATTAAAAATATACAGGAATTCCTGGTTAATCTCCTGAAAAGTTTTCTAAAATAATCTTAATAATAAAAATATAATATTCTTTATATAAAAATTAAAATATTATACTAGAATATAGAAGAACACCTCTACTTATTAAAAATTATATTAAAAAATCTGTTAACTTTCTTTTTCTTTATTAATATTTATAATTAAATTAATATTACTACTTAAAGAGATGTGCCACCTGTTATTTTATTATAATTAAAATTTATATTAATAAATATATCTCTCTTTAAGTTAATAGAGAAGGCTCAGATTATTATTAAACTTAATAATTTAAATAATATAATCAGATATTATAAAATATTTCTAAAAGATATTCTTATAAAAATTAAGAAAATATATATTTAAATTTATTAAATTAAAATCTCTCCCTCCCTAGCTGCTATAAAATTTATTATAATATAATAATTTAAATTAAGTAATTTAAGTCTTAATCTTTATTTTATTATAAAAATAAAAATTATCTGCCTATATCCTGCATGAGTATATAAATTTTAGAAAAATATAATCCTTTATATTTTAATTTAAAAAATAATAATTTATAATATATAAATTAAATTAATTAATATAATACAACCAGAGGAGATTATTAAGACTTTATTAATAAATAATATATTCTATTAAAATAATATTTAAATTATATATATAATATAGCTGGCAGTCCCTTCCCAGGACTCTTAAAAAAAAGTTATTTATTCTAGTAATAAAATTTATCTTCTTAATTATTATAAATATAATAATTAAATACAGGATTTTATAGGATTCAGAGCTCCTGGTTATAATTAAATATAATTAGATAATATAAATATATTAATATTATAACTATCAGTAATATAATTATATAAGAAGTATTTATTCTAATAAAAAATCTATATATATTATATAAAATATTATTATATTTATAAATATCTATATAGGACTGCAGGTATTCTTAAAGAACTAAAATATATTAATTATAAGAATATATATTATATATAGAGCAGGAGCTATCCAGTTTATAAAAAAAAATATAACAGATTCTAGCCAGGCTAGTTAAAAAATTTTTTAATTATTTTTATTTTATTCCTTCTTATTTTTAAGTAGCTTTTTTATTAATAAAGACAGTCTTTATAAATAAATTAATAATATAAAAGATTATTTCTAAATATAACAGCCCTGAAGACCTCACTGTATTTTTTATTAAAAAAACTAAATATAATATAAATCTAATATTTATTAAAGCCCATGGGGCGATACAAGCAGTAAATAAAATAAGAAAAAAAAAGAAAAAAAAAGAAAAAATATAAGAAATATTTAGATTATAAATATTAATACAGGATCTTTTATAAAAAAAAAATAATAGAAATCCCAGTCCTGCAGGATATTATATTTAACTTCTAATCTGATTAGATTATATAGATTATATAATATATTAGATTACAGATAACAAGAATAAGCAGTATCATGTCAATATATATAAGAAGAATTTTTTATACTAATACTTCTAATAATTTTAAATTTCTAATCTTAATATAGGCCCCCAAAGACCTTAATATATAATTTATAAATATATAATTAAAAGATATACAGCTAACTGATATACAGCTGATAGAGAAATAAGATAATAATCTTAATATCTTATAATAAATACTATAACTCTAATCCAGATAGATAAAATATATTCTATTAATATTATTACTAAGTAAGATATCTAGTAACAGTTATAAATCCAATATATTAATATATTTAAGAAAATAATACTGTATAGAAGAGATTCTCTAGCTAAAGATCTTTTTAAATAAAAAAAATATATTTATTATTATTAATAAATAAAGACTCTCTACAGATTATCTAATATAATATAAATAAATTAAAAAATCTAGTAATAAGGTACTTTCTGCAGAACTTTCAGATTTTAATTACTAATATGATAATTATTTAAGAATCCTAGAGAAACTCTAGTTTAAATATTATATATAATTCTGCCCGTAGCTACCAGCTGTTATATCTAGTAATTATAATAGAAAAATAGATATAAATATATATATTTATATTTAAAAAGATTAATTTAAATAAATAATAAGCCTTTCGTTGGGTAATACTGGTAAGGCATCGAGCTGCGTCGGCTTCTTTCACTCTATCGGATTTGTCCCAAGCTTCCTGGACTCTTTCAACTAGCGTATCGTAATCTTGTAACAAGCTTGTTTTGTCTTTTTGTCATGCAAACAAGGTCAATACGGGGCCGCGGAATAGGGATGCGAAAAATGCGGCTTTTTTCTGGTTGCTCTGTGCTAGTTCGTCGTTTGTAAGGAACGTAATGTCACACCAGGTCTTGATCGTTTCAAATTGTCCTGGTTTTCCGAAAAACAATGGTGCCTTAGACATGTCTGTGACGGGTTTTGTACTAGGGTAATATCCCGGTACTGTCGTATCGGTATCGTCACGTTCAAACTTTTACAGAATATGCAGGAATTTTATTTTTATAATAAGTATAGACAGATCCTACATCTATTAAATATATATAATAATAAGAGTAGAATAATTATAAATATTTTAATAAATCTAATCTTCTCTAATAATAAATAATTAAAAAATAAAGATTAATTTATATTAAATAACTTTAATCTTCATTATCCTGTATAGGGCGGGGAAGCTGTTAAATCTAATTTTAAAATAAATCTTTTATTAATATTTATAGATAATATTAATTTAGATTTCTGGCTTAAATTAGATATAATTATCTAAAAATATATAAGATAACAGACTATAATTAATCTAGTCTTTAGTATTTCTAAATTTATAAATTATATAATTATTTATAAGACTGCATCTGTTATATATACTAATTCTAATTATTTTCTAATAATTATAATTATTAATCTAGATATATTGTTAATAAGACCAATATTAAAAAGAAATTAAAAGACTATAAATATAAAAAAAAATATAAATATATAAAAATAAATCTAGAAGATAATTTATAATAATATTTAAATAAAGAACTAATTTCTGTACAGGTTAATATTATTATTAATTATCTTATAAAAATAATATAATATATTATTATAAAATTAACCCCGTGGGCTAAGCTCAGTAAATAAATTAATTCTAGCTTTATCCCAGAATACCGTGAGGTAATAAAAGTAATAAGAAAAATAAAATATATATATAAAAAAGAATAAACAGAGAATAAATAACAGGAATATATAATAATAAAAAACTAAAAAATAAGAATTATTAAAAATATAATAAAAAAAATCTATTAGAATATTATATATAAGACTACTGAGAAGGGGCTCTGTAAAGACTGTAATATATAATAAATATTTTATTAAATTAGAAATTATAATAGAAATAATAATATTATTCTAATCCTTAAGAATCTGTATAATAATATAGAGATTATAAAATAAAAAATAAAGTTTTTTAATATATCTTCTTCCCAGAGTCCTTTAATACTAATTTATCTGATATTAATATTAATATAACTAGGAAAATTAAAGTCATTAAATTTCTTCTAATTATAAATCAGAAAATATATAATACTGTTAAATATGTTCTAGTAAACAAGATATCTAGTATTAATATTATTTCTAACTATATATAATATATGCTGGTAAATAAATTAGTATTTATTAAAATATTTATTATAATTTTTAATATCTGTATATAGATCAGGCATAATCTAGAGTATTTCTAATAATTAATTATAGTAGTTCTTTGTAAGAAAAACCTCTATAACTTTTATTTATTTAAGTTGTATAGATTAATAATATTATTAAATATTCTAGATAAATTATTAGAATTAATTATTATTATATATATAGTATGGATAGTAGAGAATTATAATCTACTTTCTTATAAATATTTTAAAGATTATAAGAGTATTTCTATTAATTATATTATCTAAATAATTCTAAACAGAATTCATAATATTTAGAAAAGGAATTATATTATGAATTTACTATTATTAAATATATTAAAAATATATAATTATATATTATATATATATCTCTTATATAATTTCTAGTAAATAAAACTAGGCTATTTTATTTTATAGATAACAGTATTCCTGTATAACTATATAATCTAGCTTAATATATAGAAATATTTAAGTAAATTATTATTAATATTAAATAATATTTTTTAAAGATTATTTATCTTATCTATTCTATTTTTATTATTTAATATTTTTCTTTTTTAAGCCTGCTCTAAATTCTACCTTAAAAAAATCTAGATATTTAACTAAATAAATAATATAGCTATTCTAGTAATTTCAAGAAATTATATTATTAATAAATAATTATTAAAAAAGATTTTTATAAAAATTAATACATGATTACAATACTATATATCTAAATTTATTTTAAAAAAATTTGAATTTATCTACTTTAGAAATCTATATATTTTTAATCCTAATTTAAATAAGCTAGATAAACCACCAGAAGCTATTAAAATATAGAAATACTATAAATAAGAAAATTATAATTATTTATTAATTATAATTCTTATTATCTCAGAATCAGAGTTAATTATTATATAATCCTTAGAATTAGTCTAATATCTCAGTATCTAGCTTAATAAGATTTTTTATTTAATATTTATTATACCAAGACTATAGTTAAAGTTAATAAAAATCTTAAAATTTTCTAGAGTATTACAGGCTCTATCTGGAATATTTTTATTATTTTTATATAATAGATTTATCACGCGGTTATA